CAAGTTAAACTCAGTATCAGAGAAACATGACTGCAGTTGTTGTAAGAGGGAATAAAATACAACTGATTTGTCACATATCTACAGCACCAGAAAGGAGTAACAGTTCAAGGATACAAATATTTACTGCCATCATGAGCTATATATCTGTTTACCCTGCCTGAAATATCAGCTGTTTCATTCACCCAAGAAAGCCTAGAAACTTTAACTAGAAGAAGAAAAACAAGGCTATTTTGCTATTCTGAAGCCAGTAAGGCTTTGCTAGTGATGGGTCATAAAATACTTTCACTTTTCCTCTGTTTCTAAACCCTTGCTTTAAACTACTTCTTTTTGGGAGTTTGGAGTTACTAAACTAAATACTGCAAATGGAGAGGCTGCAGCCTATGTAGAATAAATGATTTAAGAACTGGGCTTGGCTGATTTATTTTTTCCTCTGTACTGGAGATAAAAAGAAGGAACACATTCTAGTAAACCCTACTCATTTTCACAGCCATTCTTGCACCTGTAACTCAAATAATGAAGCCATTTGTTATTTATATTGCACTTTCCCCTCCATTCTAGATTTCTAACGATCTGACCCTGCTTTATGGCCCTGACAAAGCCTGAAACCGGTGTGGACTTCCAATAATTGAATGATATAAGGAAAAATCTTTAACTGGAATGAAGCAGATGTTAGCTTCATGCAGTTCCCTAACTTGATTATTCTTTGGCCACGTTAGACAAGCATTAGTGATTGATAATGATGCTAATTAACCCCTTTCCTTTCCAAAACAGTAAACCAATGCCAGCAGGATTCTGCAAACAACACACACAAAGTGTATACCAGTATCTGTTCAAAGTGGATCAGGGACACAACTTCATTTCCTGGTGCTCTACAAAAAATCTTATCCTGCTGACACCAAGCTGGCTCCAAATCCTCTCTAGGAGTTCACAGCTCCAGCTGCTTTGCAGGACAGGGAGCAGAGACATAGCTCGTTCATGCAGAAAAGGTGCATGGGACAAAATCGAAGGCACCATTTATTTTTTTTTATACTCCCAACCTTCTACGTTTGACTATGGAGCCAGTTTAAATCACTGTGCCCTCACTAGCTGGGATGGACTTCACACTGATCCCTGTCAGAAGGGCACAAGTTATTTTAGCTACATTTTCCTAACATAAGGGCTGAGGCTCTGGGAATCTGGTCTGGGCTGAGATATTCATGTACCAAGGAGGAAAAGGGAAGCACACATTGTGAAATTTAAATGGGAGATAGAAGACGAGTAAACAAACAAGGAGCTGATCTGATTATGCAGTTGAATTTATCATGGACAATAAAGAAATTGCCTTTAAATGTAAGGGTTTGGATAAATGAATACTCCTAGCCAGTGAATAAAATGTATTCAATTAACTAAAAACCTTGTGCACTTCTGAACTGAAGTGGAATCGACTGTAATTGATTTATTTGAAACCAGAGGTTAAGGACTGAATTAGCTAAGTACAACTGGGTATTTCAAGCCACTGACTTCTCAAATGTCAAATCTCTTCTATTTTAAATATTATTTCAGCTGCGGGGCATTGCTGTCCTGATGGCTGTTCCACCAGTTAAATCTCAAATTATATTAATATTTGATTTTTGGAGGGTGGGGTAAAATACGGTACAAAGAGGAGGGCTGTCCTTGTTCACGGTGAAAGAGCACCAAGCTGTATTTTGGTTCACATGTAGGAATTAGCTCGGCGTGGCAGCAACGCTCTAACATTCAGCCACCACTCACCCCCGCTTCAACTGATCTGGAGTGGGGGAAAATAACAACAGATTTTTGTTTAGTGCATAAAGACATGACCTAGAATTTCACTGCTGCACCTCGATGACGTTAAAAATGCATCCAAAGAATGCTGAAGTAATTAGCATATTTTAGTAACTGCACACTGGTCACAGCAGAAGAGGCTGAACCAAACCCAGCCTGATTGCCATTATCGCCTGTAAAATCCTTCCTTAGAAATAATAGTAATAAAGAAACCTATGCAAGGTCATTTCATTTCTGGTTTTTGGTGATGTGCTAATCCAGCAGCAGAATACTAATATGCACTTCCCTACCATGAAGTAGCTAATTATATGTTTAAAACATTATTTATTATGACCTTATAATGTTCTAGCATAAGACTGCTTTATACATTGACCAGTATAAAACGATTATATTGGGTACAGGTTTCAAAAAGTAACAAGCATCTGTAAATCCAGATATGAATGAATGGTATTTAATAAGATTGTTTTCGTTTAAAAATGAGTATTTATGTGTTGCTGTAGAAAGAGCAGCAATGTATTGCTGTTTATGAATGCTATTGTGCCTGAGGTTAGGATCCCACACACAATCTGAGATGCAGCCAAGAAAAACAGCCCTGATAGACAATGCTTCACTTCACCTGCTACAGTACTGTGCATTTCATTTATGTCAAGAATATGTACAGTTAGGGTTCATTCACCTCATTATTTTGTTACATCTACTTTACGGTTAACCAGTCTCTCTTGGAAATAATAAATAACTGTTTTTAAAACAATTGCAGCTTTGCATTCAAAAGATCCACTTTCAATTTATTGAAAAAAAAATATTCACCATTTTTATAAACTAGCTGGCTCACGAAAATAGAATTTAGACTCCACCAACTCTCTTTCTGCTTGGCAAGATTGATTTTACACTGCCTTCCATAAGTAGATTACCAAAGCAAAATGAAACATCTTGGGCTTTATCTAATGCTTTGCTTCACCAGCTCTACCAAACGTCAAAATATATGAGTAAATGTTAATTCTCTTGCAGCTTTATTGTAAACACCTCCCTCTAACCTCCTAAATTTCTGCCTGAGCGAAAAGAGTTAAAAAGAGAGAGAGAGAGAGAGAGAGAGTCAGGGAGGGAAGGAAAGAGAAAAATCAGCCTCCACTACTAGAACCATCAACACTTAAAGGAGACCCTCTCTTTAAAATGCCTTTACGTTCTAAACTGTATTAAGTCTCCCTTCCTATGATATAACATAATCCAGCCTGATCCTGACTTCACCTACCCCCCGGGCCAAAGAAAATAGATTCAAAATCTGAATTCTCACATGTTTTTATAGACCATCTTCAAGACACACACTCCATTTTTTTTAAAGTGAACTTCCCTGTTTCACAACTGGTTTCCACAAGAAACTCAAGATAAAAATTTCAGTCCCCTACAAACTGACAGCCATCTCAAAATGTCAGTCTGTGCATTCCACTAAAACACGAACCATCAATCAGAAATAATCTGTCTCCTGCAAGATTTCACTAAAGTTCACAACCGTGAGATGATTTTGTTGGCATCAACTACGGAGCTTTTCTTTTTTTCTTGAGGGGGAGGGAGCACCCAGCTCTGATTTATCAGTATAAATTTCTTTTTCATAGCAATAATTTTCAGTATTTTCTCAATAATGATTCTTTTTAAAATGTCCTTCTTGAGATGTGTTTTTTAATCTCTGCTCTCCGTTAGGACAACTACATGTACAAAATTTTATAGGCTTATAATTCTGTATGATATATATAAACATAAATAAAAACCTAGAGGTCAACATAAATAAAATAAAACTTTTATTTTTTAAATAAAATTATGTTTTGGTTAAAGAAAAGATAGTGTGTCATTTTTGTTAGTAGTACAGACAATTTTTTATCCAAAAGAATACATTGTGCTTTATTGTGTCATTTGTCTGAATACAGACTCAGTGGAATATCTAAATGATACCCTGCTCTGAACTCCAAGTTGAAAGTAAGTTTTTATTATACTTGAGGGAAACAATGGGTTCAGCTGCTTATTGCAAGGAGCAATTGTCAAGGGAGAGTTAAACTCAATTACTGTAACCATACTGAATAAAAAATACTGCCAAGAACAAAAATACGCCTGGGTAAAGACAGCTACTGAATAAAAAAATCGACATAAAGCGTATCAAATATTTATTTATCTGGGCAACAAAGGACTATGATACATTGATAGGCATGGAAACTACTGCCGGCACAACTCAATACAACACAACTATAACTGCTTCCAATATGGCCAGTGGAAATACAGGATACCAGGTGGTCCCGAATGTTTGAAGTTCTTTGGGAAAAAAAAAAAAAAGAAGAAAAAAAGAGAAAAATAAAAACAAAAGAAAGGGAGAAAAAAAAAAGAGGGGGAAAAAAGGAAAGTAAAGCTAAATCTTGTTTTAAAAGACAGTATTAATTTATTGCTCTGTTGGTGCTTTTGGGAGAAGGACAGTGGATGAAAATAACTTTTTTCATTTTCCACAACACATAAGGGTTGTAAAACCACTAACATGTTTAAAAACCTTGCCAGGGTCCAACATCACTTTATTTTATCTTCAATGAGAAACTAAATGTCATACTAATTATATATAAAAATTAATGGTTTTTTATTTGTTCAGCTGCTTCATTGTCGCTTTTAACATGCTACAATAGGGCTAAAAATGATGAATCCCAGAGAAAAACCCCCAAAAAACCTCTGATATCTAAATAAGTACCATGAACCACATGATGAACTAAGAGGGGAAGATTTAAAACCCACTAAACAAGAGGTAAACGAGATCACCAGATAAATAAAAAAAAGGCTTAAAACAGACTCACCATATTTACAATTCCCATTAAATTACACATAAATAAATATATACATACATGAACACTGATTCCCTTATATAATAACTGTGAATCGTGTTGCAATAGAAAGTTCAAGTTGGTCGCTTTACCTTGGACAGGAAAAAGTTCTACAACTGAAGATATGACATGGAACTGCTTGTGTTTTGTGTTCAAGTTTATTCACAATACTGATAAAATGTCATCAGTCCTCTTTGCCTTTTGTCTGTCTGTCTGCTGCTGTTGTACTTTTTCACTTTTTTTTTTCATTTTTAGTATGGCTACAATCTTAACTGAAGTTTATGTAAGGGAAGGTGGTGATTCAGTCCGGTGAAGCTCATAGAATTTTAAAGTATTATTTCTTTCTTTTTGTTTGGTTTTTTTTTTTAATTTTTTAATATATTTTTAGAAAAAAAAGTCCTTTTTTGTTTTATTTTTGTTGGGTTTTTTTTTCTCCTTTTGTTTTATTTAAAAAAAAGTTCACAAACTCAAGACAGAACTTTTTTTTCTTTGCTGGCTCCGTCCCCCTGTTCTGTTCTCTTAGGCTCCAAACTGGGGTAGAACGATGGTGGCAGTGGGAAGAGGGGGGAATTTAAGCAGGAGCAAATGGAATTGTGGATGCTGGGAAGGGGTGTGGAGAGAGGGCAGAGCAGTCCTGCAGAGTCAGAGAACAGGACTGGCAGAAGGACGCTCATTCTGTTGCTGTAGCCTGGGGTGCTGGGTGCCGGGGAGAGGGAGGAGGGAGATGAATGGATCGATGGGCTATGAGGGGGAAGGGAGAGGAGCGTGTGTAGGGGGGGATCCTCACTTTCGGTGCTTCTCCTCTTTGTCGCCGCTTTTGGTGCTGTTGTCTGTGTGGCTGTTGGGGTTGTTGCTGAGGTACATTTTGTCCATGGCCTTAAGCGCCTCGGTGAGATAGTTCTGCAGGGCGGTGACGGCAGCACACACCGCCGGGCTCCCAAAGCCGTGCGAGATGAGGTTGAAGTGGGTCAGGCAGCTCTGGATGCCCGGCTCCAAAATGGGGTTGGGCCGCGAGTTCCCCAGGGGAGATCGGTCCTGAGCCAGCAGGTCGGTGAACTCTTTACAGATCTGTCTGTAGCACAAATGGAGCAGAGAGACACAGGGAGGGAGGGAGGGAAGGGAAGAGAGAGGGAGAGAAATGAACCATCACTGGCGGCAGCAAAGCCCATGCATTCTCCCTGCTAGATTGCACAAGCCCCTGGATCAAGGAGGCTCCTGCTCCTGAGCACACACACTCTCCTTTCTTCCTCTCCTCTCTATGCAGCCTTCCCCAATTCTCACACTTTCCCAGCATGCACAAACCTCTTCCCTTCACCTTGCGTGCACACATGACAGCACACTACACATCACACCCCAGCCCCATCCGACACAATGGCAGGCAACAGGAACATGGAGACACATGCCTCTTGCCCCACTGCTCTCTTTCTCAGCCCCCAATGCTCTCCACAAACACACATCCCTGCCCAGCTGGGATTTGGAGCACAGACACAGTTTAAAGTTCCTGAGCATGCTTAATAGACAGGCTATGATATTCCAAAGGTAAGCTAAAGGATTTATCCATATCTTAGAAGATTCCTTTTTTGGGGGGAACCAGAGAGAGATATGGGCCTCTTCCTTCACAAGGCAAAAACACACACCTGTGTGTCAGGAAGAATGAGTGAGGGCAGATCTGGCAACTGAGGATTTAAATTGGGGTATTCTGAAACACTCATATGTGAATCTCTGTCTCCAAATCCAAAGGGACCTTTCCACAGAGGGGAAGGCTGACGCTAACCAGCGCCTGGAAATTTCCTTCCAGGGAGGTGAGAAGGGAGGATACGAGGGCATGGTGCAGAAGATAGGTTATATCACCCACTCACTGCACAAATGGTTGCAGAAACAACACACCTTACAGCCAGAGAGCTCAGAGGCGTGTGGAAACAGTTTGTATTCTAAAACCCACGTTAATGTCTTCCAGCCATAAAGCAGCTCCCATCTCCTGCTTGTGTCCTCTGGCACTGTGCCCTTTGGTGACACCTCCATTGGTAATTAAGGGCTACTAAACAACCCTTTTAATTTCCAGCAAACATACCAAAACAATAATTTTCTTTTCACACATCACCTGGAAGCCTAGGCAGCCTCACCAACGATAAACTCTGCTAGCATTTTAACTGCATACAGATTGTCATTTAAAATATATTTTTAATATCCCTGTATTAGCTAAGTAACAGAACTGCTTAGGCAGGAAGAACCATTCCCGATTTTAATGAACTGAAATCGGTTTAATGTGCCAGTTTTATTTTACTGTCAATGGGAACACTTCCCCTTCTACTTAAATTGATAAGCTAAGTGAATAGGCCCAGAAGATGTTTTGCTTTGAAGAATTACTGCTTTTGCTGTAACTAACCATCCACTCTCAATTTGCACAATTCGCATTCAAGGTAATCTGCACAAACTAATTTGGAGGAAACCAAGCTGGTCTGTAGAGTTCTCCTATACCAGGAGGGCCAACACTCACAACCTACAAAGCCAGCAGCCACTGGTTATGCAGCAAACAGATATCTTCACAAATAAAAGCCCCAAACTCGAGTTTGTCCCCCTCCCTTATTTCTAAGCAACATGCCAGAAAGTTAAATGTCTTACTTTGTAGCTAGGAGCATGTTTTTTCTTGTGACTTGCTCATTTGGATCGGAATGTTGTCGGTTGAGAAATTCAGCTACTGCTTTGGCAGGAAATTCTGTTTCACAAACGTACCCAAAATCTCTAGCTAGATGTACTGCTTCTCCTGAATAGGGAGGCATGGGTGGGGATGGAAAGAAACACAGCTCATCAGTACACATCAAACAGAGGTAAAAATCCATTTTAAAAAATCAAAAAAACCCACTACATTCTACTTGAACTTTTCTTCTCAAAAGCTTGGACATTTCCTCTTTGAAAAAGTTAGGGCCAGAAATGTTAATTACATGTTATCTTGCAGTTTTTTTGCTTCAGTTGAAGGTAATGCAAATGCGTATTTTCATAACAACTGTTGTGAGTGAAATCTCACATAAGAATTTTTAAAAGTCCACATTGACTAAGAGACGCTTTTAGATAGGCAGGTTCCATTCACCTAGAATGTGTGCTTCGATTTACATCTCCATACCTATAGAGAGCCATTTATGTACATTTTATTCACAGCTATTTACTCTGAAAATGTGTTTGCCTCAGCCACATTTCTATATTCTTTTGCAATGCATCAATGATTAATATTGATCATAATTACTCCTAGAGCTCTTCTAAATAAAATGCATTAAACAGCTAAGTGTTTAAAATTTAACTTGATCGCATATAATTATATGTTCACCCCCAAACGATTAACCATGAGAATTTTAGGGTCATTCCACCGAGTCTGTCTGTTTTGTTGATTTTCAAATCTTTGGTTTTAATTTCCTGAACCAGTTGGTTTTTACTGCAGGGCTTCCTGCCATTAGCTCTAGCTCCGGAAGAACGCATGCGCCAATTAGAGCTTCAAAGCCTCAGTCCAGTGAGCTTGTTTCCATAAAATGGAGCGGATCATAAACAATAACAGTACTCTAGAAACTGCCTCATCGCTACGGGACTCAAAGCCCCAGCAATGTTTATACTATCATCTCCCCAAAATTAGCCACCATCACTAAGTTATCTGAAGATCAGACCTCTGGTTTTGTTTTTTTAAAAAATCATTCTTTTCAAAGCCATTGTACGTGAAAGCCAAACAGAACAATGGATTACCATAAAACCTTCTCCATATTCATTAACATCACAAATAATGTTAAGCGTCTACCAAATCTAGACTTTTTACAAGTTTTCCCCTTGTGATTTTTTTTTACCACAGCATGTCGATGCAAGTGCAAAGCCTTTTCAGAAACATGAAGACGCGGTAATTTTCACGCAGTATAAATAGTTTTTTCACTAATCCTGATGTTTAAAAAAATGACACCGCTCATCATCGCACAGCGCTTCTTTCCCCGTCTCTTTCAACATGAAACATTTCTCGCAGAATGTGAAGCGACAACAAAACAAATTCCCGCCTACACAACCAAACTTAAGCTGAACCTGGACAGCTCAGGCTGAGTTTAAAAGCACTTTACAAACGGAACCAGTCTAAAACGCAGCCAAACTCTTAAGTAAGGGGAAAGGAGAGGGGTCTATCTGCAGGCCTCAGACATACTTTGTGTCAGCCAGCGTGACACAGCCACTGCTTCAAAACTAAATGACTGCAAACTCTTGAGCTTTCCACCTCCCCATACAGACAGCATAGGACATCCCAAGGCATTAAAGCAAGTTGCACCTTTTCCAGCCAAAGCAGAGGAGACTCATATAGCCAAGGGAACATGTGTTCTGAAAATGAGAACCAAAAGGGAGTGGGGGCTGGCAGTGGTGCAACTTTGAGGCTTTCAGGACACCATTAATTCATGGCTGAGGTCAAGGATTCCCAAATTAATTCAGGAAGTAATGGTCACGCATTTCTCAAATGCAGATGTCAGAAAAGTTAAATGATTTACTGTTATGTGGCTGCAGGCTGGGAGGGAGAACAAACTTAAAGTAGCTGCAGCTTCTGACATTTACAATTGCTTGGTTGTCCACCTGTGGCAGAAGAACAACAATGAAGTATTAGAGGCTCTGCTACCCCTAACTTTCAACTCCATACCCATGGGTCTCTTATGGGGCTCATAAGTCCACAATCCCCCTTCACAGGGATCCTTCCCGTGCTGCTCCCAATGAGATCTCCTTACCCCACAGAGGGATTACTCATTTGAATGAGCGAGCAAGATGGGGCCCTGAAAACGTCTAGCTCAGAAACTTAAAAGCAAATAAATAATAGAACGCTTTGCTGAGTCTGCAGGACTCGCACAAACCCGTTTCAGGTTATAACAAAAAGCAAAGGCACACAATTAGCCTGATCTTTTTTTAAGACACAGAAAATAACGCCCTTCCAAAATGCCAATGACCAGCACCAACTCTGGGAAAGAAGAAAGAAAACCCAAGTGACCCAACAGCAAGTCTTCTCCCATTTGGCAAAAGCAACAGGCACATTTTCCAAACGAGCCCTCACAGCTCTTTGAGTCACTTACCCTCCACGAGCGATGTGAGCAAGGTAACGTTAGCAGCTTTACGCCTCCCGGCTGGCAGGTTTAGTCCTATTTTGTCCAGTTTCTCCCTCAGGGATCTCCCTCCGTTTTTAGACTTTGCCCTGCTCCACAGAGAAAGGCGTTGAGAAATGGGGCTTGGAGGAACATCTGCTCCTACTTTGGCCCCCACCCACACATGCCCCCAACACATCCTTTTCCAGGGAAGGGAATAAAGGGTTTAGGCAGAAGGGATGGATACACGGCTGTGGGAGGTTCAAGACCAACTGTTGCTGAAAGCTGAATCCCGCATATAGGAGTGGTGCTTTGGATGTTTCCACATCTAGAGGACAGCAGCTCTCGCTAAGGTCTAGATCAGCCTCAGAGCTGATGTGGAGCTCTGAGGTGTCTCCCTGAGCTCCCAAGGTGCCAAGGACATGGGGGCAGCTTCTCCCAGGCGTGGAGAGGAGGTCGATTTGCAAGGCCGGCAGCCCCAGAGCATCACTGCCCTCACACCAAACTCTACGTGGCCCATCTGTGGCTTCACAGCAGAGCTGGGCTAAGCAGGGCTGCAGAGATGGAAGCTGCCTTAATTAATCCTGGATGTTATTCCCTGCCTAGGCACTGCCTAATTGCCTGGGTGAGGCGATCATGGGGTGGGAGCCCATGGCAGGGTGCCCGCCACTAAGCCGGTCCTGGGGGTGTGTATATGTGTGCCCGCGGGGGTGTTCATGGCCACGAGAGGGGCAGGGACACGCAGGGGCCCCCACGGCGGGGCTTCGGGGGTGGCGCAAGGCCGCGCGTTGCCATGGCGACAGCGCCCGGGGCCCCCTCCCGCCGCCCGGCCGCGCTGCCCGCCAGCCGCGCGCGCCCCGCCCCCTAGCGGCGGCCGCCGCACTCCCCCCGCACCGCCGCCCCGCGTGGGCGCTCGTCCTCCTCCTTGCCTGCCTCCATCCCTCCCTCCCTGCCTGCCTGCCTGCCTCCCGCCCGCACGGCACGGCCCGGCACCCCGCCTCCCGCGTCCCCCCGCCCCTCACCTCCGGAGCACTCCGCCCAGCAGGGAGGCGTTGAGGCACTCGGGCGGCGACAGGCGTCTCTGCACTTCCGCCACCGTGACCTTGTACTTGGAGGTGGAGCTGAGCAGCGAGAGGCGGCCCGGCACCGAGCAGAAGACCTCGTTGGGGTTCACCACCCCGCCGAAGAGCGCATCCTTGTTGATGGGGATGGAGGAGACGGCGTTGTTGTTAGACTTGGAGAGGGACACGGGGCCTGCAGGGAGGGAGGAGCAGGGAGGTGAGGGTGAGGAGCGGGCGGGGAGCCGGGGAGGGAGGTTCCGGGAAGCACCCGAGCCGCTCTCTGCGGCCAGCCCCGGCCCCGCACCGCCTGCGGGGCAGCGGGGACGCAGCGAGGGCACCCCTCCCCTTTCTCGCCGGGAGGCGCAGGGAGAGAGCCGGACATCCCGCAGCGGGGAAATCGAAACGACCCCGCAGCCCCTGTCGGGCGCCGAGGCCGCCGGGTGCCGCACGTCGGTACCGCCGTGTCGGGCGGGCAGTGCCCGGGCAGCGGCGCGGCCGGCAGGATGTGTGGCAGCCCCGGGGCCCCGCCAGCGCACAAATCTAGGCGTGGAAAACCCGTAACGCGGCGGAGGACCGGCACCCCAAAATACAGCGTGGTGCCTGCCCGGCGGCGGGGAGGTGCCGGGCCGTGCCGCCGTTCGGTGCCTCGGGTCCCGGCCGCCTTCCCTTTCTCCTCTGCCTTAGCCCGCTCCGCTTGGCGGGCGCAGTCCAACCAGGCGGGGGGCTCTCTCCGTTTTGGATAGATCACTTGTGACATTAATAGCTCTGGGAAGGCTAATAGATACAACAGGAGTTAAACGAACTCTTGAGATTACTAATAAAAGAGCCAATTATCATGTCGACTTGGAAAGAGCATCTCTTAAGATTTATCCCTTGCACATCTAATTTGACGTGACAAAGGCTTTACAGGCGGGGGGTGGGGGGGGGATGAAACTTCAGGTTCGCTGGCTGTACAGCAATTAGGGTTAGAGAGGAGAGTGCCTCTGCTCAGCCCCTCTCTCCTGTGGTGGCCTGGGTACCCAAATTCCCGGTGGCCATGCAGCCATAGCACCCCTCAGAGAAGGCAGGAGCTAGCTGCGCCTTCCACCCTGCCAGTTTTACTCCAACAGTGTTCTCACTACACAGCATCCAAACACAAAACCCATCACTTTCCACCAATAACCTGATTTGCAAAATGCCCAGTGCCAACCTTTCCCAATCCTTTGGTTGTCCAAAGAATGACGGGAAATGAAAATCGAGCGAAAATTTGCAATAAATATTTAGCACGATTTGGGTACCAGCTTCCAAGCAATTCAGTTCAATTCCAAGTGAAGCAAGGGCACAAAGTCAACGAAAACCAAACCACCCTAACCACCGACAGACATCACTTTCCAGAAACTCGCTCCTTGTTCTCCACCAGTCCACTTCATCACCGGCGTGATTTAAATAAGAAAACCCGAAGAAGGGGGAACAACGATTTCACATTCACAGCTCCAGTTTACCAACAACTATTCAAGCCCTCCGCTCAGCCAGATGCATGGGGCAAACCATGAAACCCAATTGTTCGCTAATGCACTAAAAGACCGGCTCGGATTTTCTAGATCATCTGCTAACATTTTTCCTCGTTAACGACAATAATAATTAAAATACCCGGCAAACGTGGCCATTTAAGAGGGCGGATTTCAACCCACATCGCCCGTCTTTCTTTGCTTCCAACCTTTCTCGGCCAACAGTACATGCCAGAGGAAGGAGCCCGGGGCCGGGGGACTAGGGGGGAGAGGGGGGAGGCCGGGTAAGTCCTCCCAGCGAGCAGTCCCCAGCCTGTGACGACATGTTTGGTATGCGCAAGGAAACAGCTTACCTTTCTTAATTACAGTTTGATCTGGGATGTTAATACCGGGGTCTTCTACGTGCTGCAACAAAAGGGACAAGCAGGGATGTCAGTACACGACCACAACAAAAGGCAGGGAGGGCCGATGTGGGATGGGGTGAAGGAGAAGTTTTGTGCTCCCCCCATTCCTGGGCATGTTATGGGGAGGGAAAAAACAGATCCTCCACGGAAAGGGGTGATGGGGGGAGCAGGGAGGAGGTTTGGGGGAGGTTTCCTTTATCGAGAGGAATCCTGCATCCCTCCCAGCTCTTCCCCCGATCCCCAAGAAAAATATAATAAATCACTCACACACCCCCGGGGCCCGAGTGGCCTTAAGCTTCTGAGGGTTCCCTCCTCCCCGTCCCTTCCCTCCTCCCCGGGAAGCAGCCCCGGCCCGGCCCAACCCTCCCCGCCGCTGCTCTCCCGCGCCCGCGGGAGGGAAAGCACAAAGGAGCGCGGAGCGGCGCGGGCCGGGGGGCCCCGCACCCCCGGGCTCCCCACTATTGTCCCCTCGCAGGTTCCGCGGTCGCGGCTACAGCTGGGGTTCGCGCGGCGGAGTCACGACGTGATTAGAAAGTCAAATGAAATCATGTTTTCTAATTCCAAAAACTGACAGGCAATATAATGTCTGGCTGTGTTTACAAATTAACACCAGTGCTGCTGAGATAGAAGATTTCGCAATCGTTACAAAACCCAGGCATTACCATTTAAAAAACTATTACTTCCTTCTCTAGTCTTTGTCCAACAATAATACTGATTCTAACATTTTCCATTCTGTCTTGGATTTATGCTCCTGTTAATTGTGCCTGATCTCAATGATTCCGGGTGGATGGTACTAAGTTGCTTTATTACAGGTTTTATTATACTCAATGCTCTCATTTGTAACTTGCCTAAAGTGCTTCTGGATTTAAGTATAATTAAATTGAGAAATGTTCAGAAATGACTACTGCTGCAGTTCTTGTGTTTTAACTATATGGGGAAATATGATCCCTTTATGCATGCACCCTAAACCCATAAAGTAAATGTAGTGTGGCATAATACTTTTATTTGTGTTATTTCTACACATATTCCGTACAGGGAGGACTGTTAAGTTTAAAATCCCACAGAGATATTTATGGTTAAATAATTTTAACCATCTACTTTACTTTCTTAAATATTTAGCAGTCGTTTTTATTAAAGATTAACTGTTGCAGCAACAGAAAAATTCAAAAATTAGCCTCCCAACTCAAATTTCTGTAACAGATTTTTTTTTTTTTAACCAGATAAAATACACCTAAAAGATGCACCCTCTTATTTTATACTCTCCTTCATGAAGCCTGCTGATTCAGCCTTACAGAGAAAAAAAATGGCCAGACTGGCTCAAGGATTTAAACCAGATGGCATTTGGTTTTCACGAAGTATAGCAATGCTATTAATTCATAGATCTGAAGAGGAGGCTTCCTGAATCAGCCCACTGCCATGAAGCAAAACTGAGGAGAGGGAGAATTCAAGAGAACATTTTAGGTCATGTTTTCCTACAGCAATCAGGGGCTTGCAGTCAACAAATTAGTTTATTCATACGATTGCCTCCATGTTATTTTATATCAAGTTTAAAGAGTCGACCTGCTTTTAACGGATCCAAATTGCTTACTAAATCCTCCACTTTGGAAAACGTATGCGTTTATTGCAAAACTGCTAAACACAAGCAGCAATTTTCTGTGGCTAATTTAGCCAGATGAGGGCTGTAATAAATTCACTATTTTCTCTGAGTATAATTTACAAAAGATTTCAAAATGACCCCCAAAAATAGGTAAGTTCATCTGAACATTATCCTTGCAACACGAAACTGTACTCATTAAACTGTCAGCGAATATATTGTTGTAATATTTGATCCTGTAATTTGGGATGGCATTTCAGCAAAAATCACATCCAGATACCACAGGTCCCTCCTCCTTTTTCCTCCTGCAAGTCGAGCAGCTTCAGTCCCTCAGCATGAGCTCTGTGGGTTTTAATAAATTTATTGCCATGTTCTAATTCCATTTTCAGGGAGAAACCCAGAAAGATGAACTTTGATCACAACCTATCATGTTGCATAAGGCCACTTTCCTAACTGAAAAATAGCCCTGGCTTGCTTTGTAAGTAGCCTGTGCACTAATGTCATGCTTAATCAGAAATAATTTTTAAGGACTGTACTCATCGATAATAGAATTAGGTCCCCCAAATAATGCATCCTCCAATAGGCTCCCAACATTTGATTTAATATAGGGTGTAGCAGGTCTGACTCAAATTCGATAACCTATAGGTAATGATTTATGAGGTCATCCCTTTGCACCGCTACTAAAAGAAGGCGGCAGCATTTTAGTATACCTCTTCCCTGATTTGTCAATTAATTCCTTTAGAGAAGAGGATCTGCCCATACCCTCTTATAACTTCGGATGTGGTTATTACATATGCCAATCCTGTAATCATAGGAAAACAATTTTTCCTTCTTAGGCCACTTTCACCTACTTCCCCCACCCCCCCTTTACATTTTTGAGATCTCGTTAAATGTCCTCACAGGCATTTCAGACTCGTGTCTTTCCCAAGGCAGTAAGAAATCCCCAAATGCACGGCCCTGTGGTGATATTATATATTCTTCCAATCGTAACAGCTTATTGTCATTGAGAAGGAAAGATATTGTTAACGATGACAGTAATTTGATTTATTTATATTTTAGTGGGCAAGTTAGCGGGGAGACGCCGCTCAGGGACGAGCTGCGAGAACCTTTTGTTCTAGGTCCGGGGGGGGGGGGGGGGGGGGGGAGCAGTTCTCTTCTTCCCTTCCCTTTTTTTTCGGGGGAGGGGGCGGGGGGTTCCCCTCGCTCCCTCCCTCTCCCCCCGACTTTGAGCTCCCTCGGTAAAAGGGACGAGTGGGCCCCGGGGCGACCCCTTGGCTTACCGGCACGTCCTCGATGGCGTGGGGGATGGAGTGGAGGGGCAGGTCGGCCAGCCCCGAGCCCAGCCCGTGCGGGGCGTGCAGCAGGTCGTCGTGCCGCCGGTAGTCCCTGCGCGGGTCGAGCCCCGAGAGCTGGTGGGGCAAACCCCGGTGCGTGTGGAGCAGCCCCGTCTCCTGGCTCTGCCTCTGTCCCGGCCATCCTGGGTGCTGGGGCTGTGGCTGGGCATGGAGGGGGTTGAGGCTGTACGGGTCGTTCACGTGGGAGTAGGGGTCCTGAGACTGGGGGTAGATGGGCTGGTAAGGGGGGGGGAAGTAAGGGGGCTGGAAGTCGGCGTTGGGGGTGTGGGAGAGCGGTGGGGCGCTGGTGTAGGGAGACTGACCCACGGTCCCCAACTGGGGTAACCGGGCTGTCCCGTTGCTGGTACTGTCGTGGCGCTCCTGAGATGGGGAGCGGGAATGTGGGGAGGGGGCACAGGAGGGGGAGGAGGGGGAGGGGAAAGGAGAAAAGAAAAACAAAGATAATATCAAACTGATTTTCCTCAAAATCGCCTTGAAAATTTCATCTACAGGGCAATGAGGGGCAAATCATCGCCTCCGAGGCGGAGAAAAGCAGATCTGGAGATCTCTCTGCCTCTGATTTCCCTTCCCAAATTATCAAGAGGCAGTCTCGCTTTTTTAAAAACCAATAATAACGGCAATAATGATAACAGCAATAATAGCAATAATTACAACAGGACAGCTTATAATAATTAATAAAACATTGCGGCGATACAGCGTGGAATCACAACAGATCGTGCCCCGGCATTTCAGGAGTAGGTATTTCCCACAAATAAAAATAATAATTCACAAGCTAGCATTATTGAAATAATAATTCTGCCACAATCCAAAATCCTTCCTCCGGCCCTTAACAGAGCCGAGATAAATACTGTCGCTGACATTACCGATCGCGTCCCAAGAAAACCCTGGAAAATCCAAGCCCACTGCCATTTTGTTACCAGAAAACGCCGAAATAGGCTCCAAACAAAACGGTAGTTCCCCCTTAGAGTTTCAGAAATATTTCGGGGGGAAAGCACTGCCATGGTCCCCCACCTACGGGGAGAGCCAAACCCCGGGTGCCCGGCCGAACCCCGGGCTCGCCAGGGAGCGATTTGGGAGCGGAGCGGGCAGCGGCGGCCCGGCCGCCGGGGAAGCGGAGGAATGCGGCAGGCAGCCGGGGGAAGCGCCGCCGCCCCGACGGGCGAGCGGCACCGAAAGGAGCCCGGACGCTTCGGCACGGCTCTGCCGGCTCTCGAAACAGGGCAGATGAGCCCGCATGAATGTCTGGGGCAAAAGGAATGGCCTCCACGGAGGAGGATTCGAAGGAAAGAACCACGGTTGCGAAACAGAGAAACGAGAAAGCGAAAATACTACGTTTGCAGGTGGCAAGGTTAAGGAATCGAAGCGGTAAGGTCCAAGCAAAGCCTTTTGCCGTTCTCTCGAAGCAGACCAAAAAAAAAAAAAAAAAAAAAAAAAAAAAAAAAAAAAAAAGGGGGGGGGAGGGAGGGGGAGGGAAGAAAAGAAAAATAAAGAGAGAAGGGGCAAAATATAAACCACCGAATTTATAAAAATGCAGAAAAGGAAAAAAAGCCCTCTTCGGAAAGCTGGGTGCGAAACCCCCACTGCCACCACCGACAACAATAGCAACACCCAGCGCGCACCGAACCCCCTCCGAGAGAAACGTGAAGCAACTCACCATAGCCGAAAAACTGTGCACTAACATCTGCGAAGAGTCGGGGGGTTACAAGTCAAGGTAGAAAAAAATAACAAAAAGGCAGAGGAAAGGGACCGGCGAAGCGCGCAGCCCCCGGCGGAGCCCCGCGGGTGCGGGCGCGGCGCGGGCGCGGAGGGAGCGCGGCCGGAGCCCGGCGCTAGGCGCGGGCGGCAGGACCGGGGCGCCGGGGCTGCTCCTGCACCGCGGGCGCGCCACGATAATCCATCAGAACTTGCACCGATCTCTGCTGCCCTTCATCGGGTGTTCCCAAGGCGAGCTCTCTATCCTGGCGCGGTGTGAGGAGTCAAAGTTGGTTGCTTTTTTTCTTTTTTTTTTTTTTTTTTTTGGTTTTTTTTTTTTTTTTTTTTAGCGTGTGTGTTTGTTTCTTAATCCTTTTTTTTTCCTCTGACTCTTTCTTTTTCTCCTTTGACTTAGCTGCTGCTTCACTTGAGCTCCTAATAACAGATCTGCTGCCTTCCTGGAGACTCCTAATAGCAGATATTCATGACTATTAATATTACACGAACACTTAATAAGGGAAGAATGGCTGGAAATCGAGCGTGAAGCGAGAAGGCAACTCAAGGCAGAGCCTGTTCTAAATGACGTCCATTGAATGAAGAATCAGTGTATCTAATCAGAGATGGGGGAGAGGGAGAGAGAGACAAAAAGGGAGAGAGAGGGAGCGGGAGAGAGAGAGGGGGCACATGCTGCTGCGTCTGACGAATCACAGGAAAGGGGCAACATTTTAAAAGGTTGCAGGGCATGCAAAAGTGAAAGAGAAAGAGATCCGGAGAGAGGGAGAGAGGGTGGGAGCCAGGAGGGGGGTGCAGAAAGAGGGGGGGGCGGGGAGGGAGTGGGAGAGACGGGCAGGAGGAGAGAGGGGAGGGGGCGCGGGATCCCCCCCTCATCCTTCCTCACCTTCGCTTCGCTTCCCTTCCCTTCCCCCCGGCTGCCGCTTCCCCATGTCCCCAGCCCCGCAGTCCTCCGCGGGCGCACCTCGGGCTGCGGCTGCTGCGCGTAGCCGGCCTCAAAGCCCAGGGAGAAGAGCGGCTGCTCGCTTCCCGCTTGGTTCTTGCTGCCCTCGGCCGCACCGCCGCCGCCTTTGCGCGGGGTGGGCTCCGCGGGACCGCCCGCCGCCGCCGCCCCGTCCATGCCTCGACGGCGCCCCGCCGAGGGGCTCCCCTCGCCGCTGCCCCCGCGGCGGCCGCCCCGCGCCGCTGAGCAGGCTCGCCTCCGTGCCCCACGTCCCGGAAACCGGCTGGGAAAGTTTTTTTGGGTGTCTCCCCCTCTGGGTGTCAGCCCTCCTCCTCCTTCTCCTCCTCTTCCTCCGGTTCGAGCCCAACGCCGAGACCAGCGGGCGCCCGGGGCGGGGGGGGCGCCGGCGCCCGGCCCCACGCTCCGCCCGCCCGCCACGACCCCCCGGCGCTCCGGCCGCCCCGGGCGCTGAGCGAGGCTCCTCCTCCTTCTCCTCCTCTTCCTCCGGTTCGAGCCCAACGCCGAGACCAGCGGGCGCCCGGGGCGGGGGGGGGCTGGGGAGCCCAAGGAGCATCCGCCGGGCTCCCCGCGGCCCCCCTCTCGGAGGATCCGGGAAGAGACGGAGGAAAAAGGCAGGAGGCAGCAAGGCGGGGAGGGAAGGAGGGCGGGAGGGACGTGGGGGGGAGCGGGAGCCGAGAAAAGAGGCAAGGCGAGCGCTTCTCCCGGCCCAGACAAGCCGGGGCTCCGGCGCAACCCGTCGGACTGGCTGTGCAACTCCCAAACAACTCCCTTAAAACAGGCACCGCTCCGCTCGCCGCCGCCGCTGCCCCGTTTTTTCTTTTTTCTTTTTTTTCTTTTTAATTTTAAGGCAGGTTCTATTCCCGGCAGGGTACAGCCACTCTCTTTTCTATCCTCTCTTAAAAGTGTTCTCGCACCCGCTCCCGAGGTAAACACGGAGAGCCAACCGCACAAGTACGCACAAGATCCGGCCGGTTCGCGGAGCGGCTTGCTGCTCCCTCCGTGTTTGGTAACACCTCGGTGCGAAGTCCCATTAACGCAAGGCAACAAAAGCCATTTGCGATGAAATCCACACGCTCGCACGTGTGCAAACTGGAAGACCGCTCCTGAGGGGAAGGAGGGGGAAGAGGCACGCTTTCCGCCCGAAATGCAGCTGCGGAGTATGTGTCTTTTTTTTCCGGGTTGAAAAAAAATTTTTAAAATCCAAACCACCAAAAAAAAACCAACTCAGCCAACTAAAAAAATAATTAAAAAAACATTACACAACCCACAAACCCCAACACCCGACGCCTCATTCATAGAAATCAAACACCCGCCAACGAGTGGATCTAAAGCTCAGCTCCCGCATCGGGAGACAGCTTCATCCCAAGCTCCTCGATCACCAAATCACTTAGTCGGCGCTGAGCCTGCCGAATCCTCGGTCCCTTTCCTAAACTACAACATCGCCCAAAACAGCGTCAGGGTCGGATGGGAGAGTGCCCCCTTCGACCCAGAGATGCATGTCGGCAAGGCTCCGCCGAGGCTGAGGAGATCTTCCCGCGTGGGTCACGACCAAAAAACAGCGTTCACTTGCAAAGTAGACTCTTTTATTGAGCGGTTTGTACCCACTGCACAGGCAACTTTTCGAAACGGGTGACAATAGTATTCGTTGGTTTGAGACTAGGCATGGGTTCTGGGCATCACTCTTCTTTTTCCTCTTCTTCTCCTTTTTGTCAGATTAAAAGACACTCGCCTCTTTGTAAAAATATGGATGCACATAGAGGCACAGAGAGAGATGCACGCACACAATCTGTGCTGAACGGCTCCAAAACCGAATGAGGTGGATTTTATTTCTTTTTTTCTCAAGCGGTTAAATTGCTATGTCTCAAACCCGTGGGAATGTGGCCCTGAAAATTAGGAGGCTGGGGGAACACTGCTCCCAAAACTCGTGATTTCATTTAGGCAGCTGACCCCTGTAAATTTGTGCAGCTCGGTATAATGAACCCGCAGATATATCGAAAAAGCTGCATTTAAGCGTCGGTCCTGAGCCAATTTATTTGGATGCCTCGGGTACCTAGAGTGCAAGAATAATTTTCTTCCCTTTGTCTCTTGGCCCTCTCATTCATTCATCTGTCCATTCATTCAGCCAGCCGCCTATCCATCCATCCATCTATCCATCCATCCATCCATATGGATGAGTGTAGCATCCTACAAGAGCCTTATCTACGGAAGATCTACCTATAGACCAGGCTGCTTCTGGATCCTGTTTGCCTTTCCTCATACACTTCCGACAAAGCCGTGTTTCCACAAGCCCCGAAGTTCCTGGGGAAGGACCCCAGCCCCTCTCCGGCTGCAGGACCGCAAGGAAGCCTGACGACGGAGCAGAAGTTTTCCTAAACGAAATTGAGAGACGGAGGGATCCTGAAGGCTCCCGCTTGTAGCTGCGGGGCCGGGGCTCTGCCCGGGCCCGGGGGAAGAGCTTACCTCACATTCCTCATACTTGATATTATCCGTCAGTTTCCAAAGCATTTTCATGGATTGGCGTGAGAGAGAGGATTTGGTTCTCCCTGCCTTGCCTCTCCCTACGGTGGCGGTGCCGGGCGGCGTGGGGAGCGCGGCTGGCGGAGGCTCGGCAGCGCTCCCGTCCGCGCTCGGAGATCTCCCTCTAATGGTGGAAACTTTTCCCTTTTCCAGCTCTTTACCCACAGCCTAATCGCCTCATTAGCATATCAACAACAGCCCAATTGCTCGCCAGCACAACAACCTGCAGCGATGGACACAGGTAGAAGGGACCCACGAGCAAGAAAAAAAAAAAAAAAAAAAAAAAAAAAAATTAACGACAAAAAAAAGCTTTCTTCGACTTGCCGAACCCCGGCGCGGGGGGGGCAGTGGGCCCTGCCTGTCTGCCTGCGGGCCGCTGCTGGCCCCCGTGCCTCTCTCTGCCTGCCAGCGGGGAGGAAAGTGGCCAGTGAAATCAAAGAGGCTGCCGTCCGATCCGCTGAAAGTTTGGGGCTAGCCATGAAGCCACCCCATGGGATTTATCTCTCCCCCTACCCACTTTTTTTTTTTTTATTTTTTTTTCCTACAGAGGCTAAAGGAAGCAAAGCGAGGTGAAAGGAGACTCGTGTCCTGCTCCAACGAGGTTATTGTCTGCGGAGGTTTCTGTTGCCCTCTGAATTTGGTCTTTTTTGGTGGATATTTTAAAAGCTTCTTTGCTTCGCAAACTACTCTTTTTTTTTTTTTTTCCCTCGGCTCTGTTGGCTATTGGTCTTCAAAAAAAAACACCACCCCAAACAAATCCAACATTATCTCCCAAATAGAAGTGGGCGAGTGGTAAATTGACTGTAGTAGGAGCCAAAGTCTTTTGCAAGTACTTGAGAAAAAGGACAAAACAATGACCACAATAAAACTTTGGTACTTTCTTAGGTGGAGCGCTTCGTTTGCTTAACAATGTGCCGCTAAGGGAGCGCTCAGGCTGCCCTCCTCGGGGGCTTGCTTCTCCACCCTTCTCCTCTTTTATTTCCCCGGGTGCCCAGCCTTGATACATCCACCGCAAGGCTTGGTTTTTCCCGTTTTTCTTCTTCTTTTTTTTTTTTTTTTTTTTTTTCTCCCATCTCTGGGTGATCCCTCGCTTCACCGAAGGGCAAGGCATTCCCCTCTCCTCGGGGCTGGCGTGTCGGGCCTGGCGCAGCTCGCCACGCTAGCCATGTCCCCAGGCGTCCCCAGGAGCCGGGCATCCCCACGGCTGCCCGTGCACCTGGCTGCCCTGCTGCTCACCGAAACTTCCTTTTGCCGACGGCAAAACCTGCCTTGTCGGCCTGGAAGACCCTCCCGGGGCCACCCACCCCCCGCCCTCGACTTCGGAGGAAAATTTACTGCCTCTAGGAGCAAATGGCCCCTGCGCTCCGATGGGGAGCCGCAGTGGGCCCTCGGGGGCCTGGCCCACGTGTCGCCACGCCGGGTAGGGTGGCAAAGCCTCCGGGCTCCCGGGACTGCTCCTTCACACACACAAACATCCATGTCCCCTAAAAGGATTTTTTTTTTTTCTTTCCCCTTCCCCCCTCCTCCACCATACTCCCACCCCCGATGCTCTTTTTCACCAGCGCTTTTGTCTACCACTGGCAGGAGAGTAAATTGTTGTTTTTACTCCCATTGAGGTTCAAATGGAGCTGGCAGATTAAGCCTAGTTAATGCCCCGGGGGGGTGCTGGAGATGAGAAAAAGAGGAGGGAAGGGGGTTGACGAAGGGGCCCATCGCCCCTTAGCGCCGTCCTGTCTGAACCGGGGCGGTCGGGAAAGCCTCCCACCCGGGACAGCATCCCATCTGCGGCTGCTCGAGACTCCCGTGGGCCAAAGGCCTGACCCTTTTGCCTTCTCTCCCCGCGCCGGCGGAGCGCAGGGCTGCGAGGGGAGGGGGCGGTTTTCCCCGAAAGATCCACACGGGGCAGCGGGAGGCGAGTCCGCGCGGCCCTGCCCCTCCGGCCAGGCGGGGCGAGGGGGACCCCGCAGCGCCGGGGAGAAGGAGCAAGGAAGGCCGGGGTGCAAGTCAAAGTCGGGAATAGATTTCAAGGCAGATAAGCCGTAAATAAGATTGCGCAAGAATTGATTTCAGTGAAAGAAAAGAAAAATCTTCTTTTGATCGCTTTTTTGCACCGGTCTGATAAAAAGATGTTAGCCGATGTAAAAATAATTTAAATAACTTTTGTTTAGTTATTTTTATCCCTCACACTTATGGTTTTTGTGTTTTGTTTTTTTTTTTTTTCTTTTCTTTTGTAGAAGACTTGCTGCTACCCTAAATAAATAAAAAATAATTAAGGTCGTCTAAGGAAAGACTTAGTCGAGAGATTCTAAAAGTTGGGAGCAGAAAAAGAAATTAGGCTTCCACCTGGAACTGGACTGTCCTGGGGAAGAAATAAATTCTTAAAAAATCCTTTTCTCTAAGAAAATCCCGTGTGCTTGAACAGGACGGTGCATCTTCCCTTTCAGTAGTCAGCGAAATGCTGTCATCCGGCCCGAGCGGACGGTCATCAAGGCGCTCCAGGGTTTTTCCAAGAGTCTCCCGGTTCGTGAGCCTCCGTAACTCTCTCTACACGTGTAGTCTCGCCCGTGGTGCGTGCGGGTCCCCTCGGGTCCGTGGCGCCGGCCGAGGCCCCGCGGGCCGCGTGTTGCCGGCCCGGCCTCTTTCGCCCATGGGTTCTGCTTTTCCCTTCAGCTCATCCCGCGGGAGTGCTTTCCACGGGCGCCCCCGGCGCATCTACTACCGGGTGGGACCCGGCAGCGTTATTTTTCCATGGGACAGGCGGGGTGGGAGCTCGTGGGGAGGTTTCAGCTCCCGCGGCACGTCCCCGATGCGCGGCGGCTCACGCCGGCGGCTGCGGGCCCTGCCCCGCGTGGGTCCCGCCGCGTCCCGGGGCAGCCCCAGGGCTCCGCGGCGGGCCGGCCGCCGCCAGCCCCGGGCACAGGGACGCCGGGCGGGCACTCGCCGCCCTCGGCCAGCCCACGCTGCCGGGATCGTGCCACTCGCGGCGGCGGCGGAGCAGCCCTCGCCCCTGTCGACCCCAGTCCACCGCTCTCTACCTGTTGCACTCGGGCCTCACGAGTGGCCGCGGGCAGCCCCAGCGCCGAGGGCCGCAAAACACCCAACCCCAGCGTCAGGCTCGCCCCCAGCTCCCTCCGGGCCCGTCGCCTTTCTCGCTCCAGCCCTGCCTCCCGTCCCAAAGTAACAATAAACCCCCCCAGGGCAGAGGGTCACCTTACCTGCCAGTCCCCCATCTTGGCAAGGATAGACATCCTGGCTGCGGGCTCCGAGTCCCCAGGTCCCTGCTGGTCATGGACTGCGAGGGCAAGCCACTCGCCTGGGACGCCTGTGGGTAAATCCTCCCCTTACCTGAGCCGGGACTCTCTCACCTGGCCATAAAGAGCTGGCTGCTCCCTGCCCGCGCCTGCGCGCTGCCTCCGCGCTGCCTGCGCGCTGCCCCCCGCCACCGCGCTCCCACCGCGCCCGCCCGGCCCCGCCGCTCCCGGGGCACCGGCCGCGCTGCCCCCCGGGATGCTCCCGAGCGTGCCCCGGGCGTCCTGCAGCCGCCGGACCCCTGCCCGCTTCGCCACGGTGTCGCGTCCCGGCCCTCCCCCAGCCGGGTGAGCGTCCCGGTGTTCCCGGGCAGCTCTGTCCGCCCGGGTGCCCGCCCGCGGCCGGGGTTGGGGCGGGAGAGCCCCCCAGGCTTCACCTTCCCCCGGGGGGCCGGTGGAAGGTTATCTCGGGGGGCAAGTTGTCAAGGACTACATGGACGCAGTAGTAATAATAATAACAATAATAATAATAACAACAACAAGATCAGTAGCCCAGAAAGGCAAAGCACCGGGATGGTTGAACTAGTCCAGATGGGTGACGGAAGCACTGCAAATTGCCTGGGGAGTTCAGGGAAAAACAAAGACATCCCCCCCAGTACAGACAGCCTTTCCAGCCCCTGGTACGGGGGCCAGGAGGGGGCGGGCGGCAGCAGCCGGCGCACCAGGCTGGCCGGGGTCTGTCCCGCCGGGCTGCGCGGGAGCGCCGTGCCGTGAGGGATGCTGCCTTCCCCCGGGGGAAGCTGGCCTGCGACAGCCTGTGGCACTTGGGCCTCTCCACGTCCGTACCCCTTGTCCCCGCCCACGTTTTGTTGTTGTTTTTTTCCCCTCGGGGATTCAAGTGCCGAAGTGCCCTGGAAGCTCGCCAGTGCGTCGCGCAGCCCTGATTTCACACCCCGAAAAAGCGAGGAAGCACGGACTCTGCCTCATTTCTAGGGGTAGGGCACTGGGGGCGTGGGGAGAAGCAGTACTCCAGCTGCAGGATTTTGGGGAGGGATGCAAACAACTTCCACTTCTCAGTTGCACAGCAAGCCCTTTCACATTTCAGAGACAGGTGAATGGGGCATCATGTCCCAGGTATGGGACAGTTTGAGGCTTCCTGGATGTCGGGGTGCATTGTCACCCACCAGTGAGGCTGTGTTGGGTTGGGTCCTGGGCTGACCCCAGTCTCCAGTAGCAGGAAGGGGATCACTCCCTCGCCCCACCATAAGGGCTTGGATACGATGACCTTACAGAAAGGAGTTCCTGCCCTGTCTCCAGGCAGGTGGGAAGAGGGAAGCAAGAGCTGGCACCCGCAGCCATTGGATCCCGGCGGAACGCCGGGGCCGCGGGCAGTCGAATCGTCGGCTCCTGCGGGGCTTCGCTTCTCATCCCAGCGAGCCGGGGTCGGCGGAGACCGGGCACCCTCGGCCGGGACCGGCGGCTCCTGCGCGTCGGCGGGGCGGGGCGCGGTCAATGGGCCGTGCGAGGCGCGCTCCGCACCGCCGCTCCCAGCGCCGGCCCGCGGTGTACAGTTAGCGTCAAATTACAGCAATTAACCGGGCACCGGAATTTAATTACACAGCCCTGCCCCTTTCCCACCCCCCTCGGTCCTGGGGAACCTCCTGCTCGGGGACGACGCGGAGCAAGGACGGCCCCGTGCAAAACGGGAAAGGGATGGGGAAGGTGCACAGAGATTTCGTGATTCCGGAACCCTGCCG